TTCTCATTAGGCACTGTCAAACAGAAATCCAGTGAGTGTTCAGTACATTCACTATTATGCAAAAAAATCATTTGAAACCTAGATCTTCTAGATTGCTACAACAGAATTTATTTTTTTACAACAGAATTTAGACAAATAATGCAAGCTTAAAGCAACCAAACCAAATTTTTAAACCTGTCCAGTTTATCACAAATAATAGACATATGAAATGAGGTGAGTGTCTTCAAGCATTCAAGTCTCTTTTTTTTTAAGCATTTTTTAAAGGTTCTTTAAGGTTTTTTTTTTTTTTTTTTTTAAAAAAAGGCTTTTCTCCAGACTCATGTTTCCTACCCACAAAACCATTAGAAAATGTTTAACTCAGCTTCTTTACCTGAGTTGTTCTTTCCATTATTCATACTCCATGCACTGAGAAAGGCATTGCCTTTTCTCTAATCTTAGAATGTATCACCCCTCAAGCAGAACAAAAGTCTAGCTCCTAGAGGAAGATCTTTCTGAAGTGGCTGACAGGATTAAGGGCTAGGATAGGATCTGTCTTTGTGCTTAACCTGAAAAGGGAGGGGAAAAGTGAAAGAATAATAAGAGCCTACGGGTAGCTTTAACTTTGCTCGGCATGAGAAATGCAAGAATGCACCTCTTGAGCAACCTCAAGGGCTTTCTTTGACATCGAAGCAAAGAGAAACCACCGCTTAGTAAATAAGGTCTTTGTTTACTGTCTTGGATACTACAAATGAGCATTGTCTCATTCTCTTAATACAACTATTATCTGTCGCTAAAAAATTCAAAGCTAAATTGGTAACATCATGGTAACAGTAATGGAATAAAATAATGTAATAACAATTCTTGATATTCTGTAATTGGTCACTTGGCATCTGAAGTCACTGGGCCATGCTAATGGCTCAAGATATTTTGTTTGTTTGTTTTTTTACAAACACCTCCACCATTAGGCCCTTGTAAATCTATCGCAAACTCTCCAACCATAAGCTTCAGCTGTGTTTTGCTTCCTGCTCAATAGGGGACATCCCCACCTACTTATTTCCTGGCACTATAATAAAGGTTTAGTCCCAATTTTTTCTCTCTCTCCACTCACCCCGCTTAGTGACCCCATGTGACCTGACCCAGTGTGACAGACACACAGTGCTTCCCCGCTTCTGCTGAGTTTCTTTGAAAGGCAGTTGCCTCTATTATCTTATTACACCTGATAAAAATAAATCCCATGTTAAAATAAATAGTCTATTATTCAAAATTTCTTTCTCAATACTCCACTTCTTTGAATCCTAGCACTTCTAAAAGGTAAACTGAGGTACACGAAAATTTTGAAGATTTTTTTTTTTTTTGAGCAAATATCTCTAGGAATCGCGCAATGCCAAACTGAAAATGGCTACAGGCACTCCACCAGCAAGAGCTAAGGGAAAAGCTTTATACAGCAAAGGCATTCTTTGATTGACTGTAGCTTACGTAGTTGCTCTGAGAAGCCTGGTTGGCTATTTGTGATTAGTTGTTTTTAAGTTTTGATTTCTTAACCTTGAGTCATTTACAGGTATCAACTCTGGCTTAGGTTTGGTTTGCTTAATAGACTGCCGAGGCATTAAGGCCACTTCAGTCTAATGGCCGGTGTTCTAAATTACTGTAAATAGCACCAGTACTCTCTCTTGTATATAGGTACGCTAGGACATACTGGAGAGATGACAGTGGAAAAACAAAACCCCTGCTCTTGGGAATTTACACTCTAGAAGTTAGTTATAAGTGGAAATGAAGTGAGGAAGCCATCTTTTATTTCATTTGAATACCCTCACTTTTCTTACCAGTATTTCACATACGCTAATGTTCACTAACATTTGCTAAATGAAGAAATGACCCATTTCCCTTAAGCATCAGAAGCCATTTTCTCTATCCTTTATTACTAAATTGTAGTTTATAATGGAGACCATCAATAAGTTTATCTCACTGGATGAACACCATGAAGTAAAGCACTGTTGAATGATACAGTAATTTAAGCAGTTGAACTTCACTGAATGAATAGTTGTACTCACCAATCACGTTTATGAACCGGAAAATGGGCCCTCACCAGACACTGAATCTGCTGGCACCTTGATCACAAACTTCTCAGCCTCCAGAACTGTAAGAAATAAATGTCCATTGTTTATAAGCCACTGAATCTAAGGTATTTTTGCTTTTAAAGCCCAAAAAGACTAAGACACTGTGTTAGTGGAAATTGTTAGTCAAAACTCTTAAAAGATAATCAGTTGCTAGCCTTCTGGGAATATAAATCAAGTCCTAGAAATCAGCTATAAATTTTTACCTATATTTCTTGCAACTGAGTAATTGCTTTGTATTTTAAATATATCAGCCATCTTATAAGGAATGATAGGAATTTCAATTTTTTTCCTAGTGGGTCACTTTTTTACATAATGAGATTACCTATTGAGGTAAACGCTACTACTGCACAGTCAACATTCATCTATCCATCCCCTTTTTCTGTCTTTAACAGTTCTGCCTTTTAAACACAACCCTATGCTGGGAAAACTTCCCAAGGTGTACTGAAACCGACCTCCAAAGAGCCAATAGACTGAAGAAAGGCTGACAGCTCCAGAAGTAAACTAAGAGATTAAAGAAATTTACCAACAGAAGCGGAGAGTCAAGCAGCAGCAAAACAGCAACTCTCCACACCCAAAAAGCCCTGCGGCTTCTTATATAGAGCGTCCAAGAACACAGGTGACTTGCGGCCTATGTTTAACAAGCTACAAGCAAGTGGCACATGCACGTTAAACAGGTGGTTTGTAGCCAGGTGACCAGTACTTGCTAAGCATGTGCTTGTTAAGGCTGTATATTTCAAAGGAGTAAATAACTTAGTGGGCCTACTTTTCTTTGTAAGAACATTCTTTTCAGGTGACAAGGGACCATCCCTGGTGAGTGGAAGGTGAAATTGGCAATCACTGAGAGTGACTTGGTTCTTAAGATGACCTAGGTCAAGTCAAGCACTAGATCCCAATTTTATTAACACCCTAATTTTGTTCACCTTCCTCAGAATATCTGTGTCTTTCAGGAGAGGCTGGCACCTCCTCAGTTCTGGGATATGAATCTCAACTGGCCTAAGTCCATCATGGAAGTCTCACTCCACGCACCCCCTTGTTGGTGATAGGCATAGACAGTTGAAGCAATTTAATCTAATGAGATGTGAGGGAAAATCCACTGGACAAAGAGGTTTTCCTTAGTCTTAAAAAGGAGCAGGAGATCAGGGTGTTCCCCTTTTCTACTTCTAAGTATCATCTGTAAACTGAACTGAGGCAGCTGTCTTAGGATCACAAGGGAAGCCAGACTGGAGAATAAGCCAAGACACTGAAAGATGGCAGGGCAATAAGAGGGAAGGAACCTGGTTCCTTGACAATATCATCAAGACATTGAAATTAACCAACCCTGGGAATGGCCTTCCCTTCACACATCTAGCTATGTGAGATAATATAAAAACTTAAACAATAACGACATTTAGTAAGGTTTTCTATTCATGTAGTTGAAAGTATTCCTCTTTTCTTTAAATAGTTCTATTCCTAAGTAGTAGGCTTCTCAATATAACAAAAGGTATGGTAGATTGGATGCAAAGATAACTGCCAAGTTTTTCTATGTTTAAGTTGTTCCTACTATTAAAAATTGGAGTCTATTTCTCCTTCCCAAGAATCTAGTCCTTCTACCAATAGAATACAACAGAGTAATATAATGCCAGTTCGAGATCCTTCACATACTTGAAAGCCAGCTACCATGTAAAAAAAGCTTAGGCCAAACTCCTGAATAATGAGAGGTAACTCAACCCAAAAGGCAGCACCAAGACCACAACAATGAGGGTGAAGCCACACTAGCTGACACCTCGTAAAGCAGACAAAAGTCATCTCTACTAAGCCTTGCCCAAATTCCTGACCACTGAATCAGAAGCAATAAAACGCCTGCTGTTTTTGGTCACTAAGTCTTCCAATTTGGTCACTACGCAACAATAGATAACAGAAAAACAAGGTAATATCTGTTCTCTTGCTTTGTAAAATTTCTGTAGTCATTTCACTATAATAAAGAATTATTTAATAAGTCACTAAGCTCTGCAAGCTAATGAATTTTTTTACAAATATATGTATTTCGTCTTAGCTCACAAAGGAGACTTTTTCTATGTTTATGCCACCCTGGACTAACATTTTTTAAATAATGAAAAGCAAATAAAAGGAGAAATATTTGTAACAAATGAGTTGATATCCTTAGCAAGTTAAAAACTTTCACAAATATAAAAGAAAAATAGTGACCCCTCAGCTTCTAAAATGGGGAAAGCCATTTCTTTGAAGAACCACAGTCAATAAACAAGAGGGAAATATCTTAACCTCAAGGCAACTAACTTAAAACATGACACATCATTTTCACCTATTAAGTAGCCAAAGAAAAATTTAAATACTAAGACTTCATACCACCTAGGTTCCAGTGAAAAAGTTGGAAAACCCCACGTTAGAAGGGCAGAGTCAAGGGTACTAGTGTCCTTGAACTACAGGCACTTAGGCATCTCTGATCACAAGCTGCTTGACTTTGGACGGTGTCTACAGTGGTGACATGGGGATAACATAGCTATTGCACAGAGCTGTTGTTC